GCCCCTGGTCCAGCCCCTGGTCCAGCCCCTGGTCCAGCCCCTGGTCCGGCTCCTGCTGCGCGGGGTCCAGCCCCGGCTTGGCGCCCGACTGCTCCTGCAGCTGTCTGAGGAGCACCCCGGTGAAGGAGAAGACGGCAACCACCCTCCCCCAGTTCAAGTGTCCGTCGCCCACCATCTCCTCCATCACCTTCCTGAGGCTGGAGCAGAGGTCCGGCCCGCATTTGTTCCGGAAGCTCTGAGCGAGCGAGTGGAAGCGGGCCTGGTTCTGCTTGACCATGTCCTGAGCCAGGCGCCTCATGGCGGCGGCCGACTCGCTGGGAGGTGGAGGGGCTGGACGTGGGCTCGGGCAGCACAGGCACAGGTAGTCCTCTGCCAGAGCCAGGGTCTCTCTCCACAGCCCACTGGTCATTTTCTGCCAGGAGGAAGAAAAGTCATGTTCAGGAGGCAGCTGACTAATACCAGGCAGGACAAGAAACAGGCTTTGCTGATCTGACAAGAAACATTGGTCAGCTGACAAAGGGCACTACCCTCTCTGGTTTTGGGATGCTTCCACTCCCATTTTCAAGGAAGCTACATTTCTTCTCTGATGTGACAACTGTTCTAACACACACAAAAAAAGAAACAAAAGTCAAGAGGGGAAGAGCTGCTAAATGACGTAGCCATAGTTTAGATATGAGGGTTCCAAATGTAGCAAAGCGGCTTCTGCTGACTTCATTCAAGCTTTGCCTTTGTAGCTCTTCAACAAACCCGCTGTCAACTCCCCCGTGACATCAGCTCACCGAGTCACAATTACGCCATTCAAACTTAGTTTTCTGGTTTTTAGGCAGACGGGAGCGGCATTCTAAGGCCTAACGGACCTGGGGGCGTCAGAAAGCGACGTGTCGTTTGGGTCGGGCCGTAGCAAAGCTCCCCGAACAGAACCAGCTGCCAGGAAGAAAGAAAGAAAAAAGCCGAATGCCGCACACGGCTCCGTTTACTCTCGTTAAAAAGGAATTTTACCGGTGCAACTGCACTTTCCGGGGCTGCCGCCTCCCGTTATTTCCCTTTTTACAGAGGGGGGGGGGGCTTTTACCGGCGAACTTGAAGTTCGTTCCGCGGCAGCCGTTTTCTTCCGCCGACTGTCACCAGAGCAATGGAGGACACAAAGGACCGTTTCACAAAGACCGCGGGGAGCCAACTTCACGGCAGGAGTCGGGCGGCTGCGCCGACACTCCGGCCCCACTTTGTCTCGCCGTTTTCAGAGAAGACGCGCACTCACGTCCAATTAATTCGTTTCTACGCGGAAAGTGAACAAAAGCTTACCCTCCCAGCGATAGCAGACGGCTCTCGGCACATCCAGACGGCGGAAGGACAGCCTGCGTAAGCACGTCGCTGCGCTCCGCCGCCGCAATAAGTAGTCCGGCTCCGCCCCCTGCGCGCGGGGGGAAGCCCAGAGCACCAGATCACTACCGCTCCGCCAAACTCTCAGCCTAGAACTTCCTCTGAGAGTATCCACCAACGACGTGACTTGTTGTTGATTTTTTTAATGATTTTTTCCGTGTACAGGTGTTGATTACAGCCGTAAAGAGCCATGACGCCATAAGTGTATTGTAAACCCTCATCGAGCCGGTAAAAAAGGGTCTATAAACGTTTAGTACTATCATTAAGAATGAATGATTTAATGATGAAGGCTAGAGGGGAGCTCAGAGAAAATATTCAGATGAATCAGATAGCTTTAGAGCACAGTGTTCTCTTGTATCAAAGAAGAACAAAACACTTTCATGTCCACAGATTTAGGGGTCCAATGAATTTTCCTCTGTGGCTGAGAGGAGATGGGAGTTTCGGAACTTAATCAGCAAAGCTACACATCATGATAAATTCATGGAAGAGGGGGGCAGTCAGGTCATGTGCTTCGGTACTTTCAATATGGCAATTCCCTTCTTCAATGTCCACTGTTATTCCTTTCTCTTCTTTTTAATTCACCCTGGTGTTTCCCTGACGTGGGTGTTGATCTCTGTTAAGAGTTTTTTGCAGATTAACTAGAATAAAGAAGTATTTTCCACTCATAGAGGAAGATGTGTGTGCTGTGGTAAAAACGGCAGACACAATTTCCTCTACATGTAAAATGTGGATTTAATGTATTCAAACTACTATTTTTGTCCAGGACAGTGTGATGATGTGGAGACCACCAGCTGACCTCTAACCACTGTGACAAAAGGGCGACAACGTGTCAGAAACAGTGATCAATAATGCCTTGAAAAAACAAAGAAAACAAACTGAGCTATGCTAACAGAGGATCTCTTACCAGACATGAACAAACTGTGGCCAGAGGACAAGTTACATCACTTGCTGGTGAGAGCCTATATTTCTATGAAGTAAGTTTAGTTCTGGTTTTACTAAAAACCTGTGTGAATGCAGTGGTTCCTCCATTAACTAAGCAAAAAAACAACAACAAGCAAACAACTTCTGTCTTTTAAACTGTCAAAACTTGCCTAATAGCTCAAGTCTGGATTCAATTTTGGCATTCTGTCGTCTGAAGCAGTAAAGATCTCTCATGAGATAGAGCCCACAGCCCAAACAGGCTCAGAGATTTAGCTTTGATTAGAATATTTTCACACCAGCCTGAGATGAGAAAATGCTTTGCATAAAGCTAGACCTACTACACCAGGCCTGTGTTTGTTCTGATGGAGGGATATCAGACTGATTAAAACACTACCCAACTGTCTGTTTTAGTGGTGAAAGCCCCATTGATGCAGTCAGCGTCGCCACAGGAGTAACATTCTGCTGGTTTCCACACACTCCCGACAGCCTGCTGTGTTAACACTTTTACCTCCACAAACAAACGTCATGGAGGATCCGTGAGAGAAGCAGTCCATCACACAGTGATCACAGGCAAGGCCAAACAACCCCACAGTGTACTGAAAATCTCTTTTATTTCTGACCTAAACTGCTGAAGACTGTACACTTTTTAAATAAACCAGTAGTAACATTTGAAGAAGCCTTGCTTTATAACATAAACTACAGCAGAGTGAGTCAAGAAAGGCGAGTTATTGTCTGTTAAAAGTTAAAAATATGTCTAATTACAAGTTATTTTGGCTTCTTACACAAATAATGATTTTCTACTACATATCTAGGTTGTAAGTATAATGCTTGTCCAACTATCTGTTCAAATAAACAGGAAGGTGCTAGATAATCTCCTTTGGAAGTGTCTGTGCCAGACTGAATCTCCCGCATAGTGTGGATATCATGTAAGGATGTGCTGGTGGTCACATGATGCTGCAGTCCTCACTGGAACGCTGCCCCCTGCACGAGGACAACTCTAAGCCCAAATCTGTGAAAAAGGAGCAGCGCAGAGTGTAAAATCAGACTTCAAACTAAAAAAAGCTATGTACCTTTACACTTTTTATTGGAAAGGGCTGCAAGCACTGTTAACGAAAATCAAATCTGAATTTTAACATTCAACATTCCTTTGAGTTAGCTAAATGCAAAGTTTACAGTACTCAAAGATTTTATCCATGTTCTACAGAACTTCTGGAAAAAGGCCGTGATGGTTTTGTATGGACTGCTGCTAAAGTATCAACTCCGTTGTCATCGTTTTCAATTTTATTGATTGCAATCTGTAATTAAATTAAGTATCTGGGAGGTTTGTTTCATATGCACGAGGTCTGCCCCAGTATTAGACTTTCACAACATCAAAAACGTCATTACAGTGATATTCTAGCACTGACATTTATTCTGCGATCAAAACATGAAACTATTATGGAAAAAATGTCCTTTAAAATATCAGCATACCAGGTGAAAACTATTTATCAAAAGAAAAAAGACAAATAACTCTTTATTTGTACTAGTGGCAGAGCTTTTTCTCAGTTAAGGTCCAACCCATTTCAAAACATCTAAGTGGTTTTCCCCTGAAGCAAAGGATAAGCTGAAGGGGGAAACTCCCGCTCACCCGTAAGGTGTTGTCCCAGGAGGCCGAGCACAGCGCCGTGCCATCAGGGGACACCCGGACACTGCTGACACGGTTCTCATGGCCAAACAGGATGGACACACGAGTTCCCTTTAAAGCGTCCCACACGTTGATGGTGTAGTCGTTGTAACCTGCGAAAAGCAGGCGGCCTGGTGGAGGCGTGGGCGTGGTAGGTAAAAGGGGAAGTGGGGATGAACAGGGGATTTTGGAGGAAGAGGAAGCAGAAATTGTCAAAGTTTGGATGAAACTGAGATAGCAATCAGTGTTTCACGGAAGAGCCGCGTTATTTATCGCGTTCATATTACATAACGATACATAAGGATACCGGGGACTATCAGAGACAAACGGGATTTTGTGCATTAGAGCCAAACTCCTCACCACTCAGAGAGAAGTCCACGCTGGTTGCGCCAAATATGACGCTGTCCTTCTGGTAGACGGCCACTTCACGGTCAGCTCTCAAATCATAGAAACGGCACTGAGAGGCACCAAGAAGCGAGCAAAAACACAAACATTAGAGGGGCATTAGTAACTGTGTGTACAGCACACAGAACAAATCGAATCTTTTCTGTTCACACTAGTTTAAAACAATTGACAACCATGTTGAAAGTAAATGAATGACAGAGTCTACCCACTAATGATTAAGAGTCCATTAAATCAATGTTACTGAGAATATTGGGACACCAGAGAACAGGAACACATGACAATAAGCAGATATGAAGAGGTCAGATGTGACTCACTGTGGCGTCATCCGAAGCAGATGCAAATGCGTCCCCACTGGGGTAGTACCTGCATATCAACAGCCCAGAGCCAGAATTAGACAACTGATGCTGTAGTTACATTTGTTTGTTGCCTGAATAGGGTGATAAATCTGCAGCTTGTACTCCCTTTTCATGTAATATAAAAGATAAAAAAATAAAAAATAAGTATTAGTTTTATATAAATTGAAGTATCTGTAAAACATCTGTTTTACTGATGGTGTTATGGAGCATCTAATTCATGGATATTTGATGCTTTAAAGAATACCAACAGGGACAGATTCACTGCCGAATTTACTCTGATTCCTTCTAGATGAAAACAGCAAGACAGAACAGAAGTCAGTCCATTAGCTCATATTGGACTGTTTCAGGATTTATTCCTTTTTTTTTCAATGAGGGGAAAATGAATCTTGTGTCTATCAGAGAACAGGACTCACTTCACACAGTTGATGTCGGACTCGTGGCTTTCGAACGACTGGATGTTCTGTCCCGAGCGCATGTCCCACACATTGGCCTTCATATCGCAGCCCTGATGACACACACAAACAGGCACAAAAACGTATGTTTTGAACCATCCCAACCACGTCTGTTTTGCATGCAGATCGGTGGCGCTCACCCCAGAGACAAACGTGTTTCCGGTCTCAGACGGGGCGAGGTCCAGGGACAAGATGTCAGCTGTGTGACCGTGGAAGCTCTGCAGCAGCTGCCCGCTCTCCACATCCCACAAGGCGCATGTGCCATCCCCGCTGGAGGTGAGGAGCTGTTAATGCGAGGGGACACACACCTACTTACGCTCGGGAATATTTTGGAACATCTTAACAACCTGACTGAAGTAAAGTCCATGTCGAGTGTGTGCGGCAGGTCACAGCTTCATATTTGTCAGTCCACACTTGTGCGAGACAAGAGGATGCTTTGCAAGTCGCACAGGGATCAGGCATTAGGGTTTAAAGCTGGTCGTGTTGGGACTTAAAACAGACGGTTGCGACTATAACAAATTTGATAACAGATGATGGTTGAAAATGTCTCAGTTGACATTTGAAATAGAATGAGGGAGCCAAATCTCTGTGAAGGAGGGGGCGGGGGTCTCTGAGTGGCGCTGCTCCTCCTCAGCCAGTTGGCACCATGCTGGCATCTCCATAGCATGTCTCTTATACACCACTGCATGCCAGAGGAAAAGGCTTTTAACCAGCTGTCTCATGGAGCTGATTGGATGGAAGGGCCAAACACCCCAAAAGAACTGATTAAGCTACAAAGACAGACACACTGGTTGTGGTCCTTTGTTATTTCTGGAGTTTTCTGTTCTCTTTTTTGTTAAACCAGACTTTGGCTGCTGGTTTGCATTCAATTCTAAATAGCAGAAACCTAAAATTGAGAACTGAAACAACCCAAAAATGAAACAGTGAATGAAATCCATTGATTTGCAGACTTTGAAAGCTTTGGCGTTTGGTTACTCTTTTTTAGGGGTTAGTATAATTTACTATGATCCTCTGCATGATTTAAGTTGTAGCCGTTATTCATTGTGGGAGATGAAAAACGGCCACAGAATACTGAACAATGGATCAGACATGCAAATGCAAACAGGCACCACGCTGCAAACAGCTCAAATCAGTGTCTCCTCGCCAGCATCATCAGTATGAAAAACACATAACGCAGCACATAAAATGCTAAAATGTCAGCTAATCCCCCGATGAACACGGATTATAGGCACTCAGAGACACATGCAGACATCAGAGACTGCTGGTGGATGACCTCGGGCACCAAACGCATCCCACCCCGGCTGCTCTGAGAGCTAGTTCAGCTTTTAACATGAACGCAATCACTCATGAGCCACTATAACTGACTCACACACATACACACACACACACACACACAGACACACACATAGAGCCTGACCATCAGGCTGACTGCACCTGCATGTTCCACCACACAGAAAACAAACCCCAAAGCTTGACTGGGGGATTTATTTGTACAACTTAATATTCCATAATGCTAAAACCCAACAGCTAGAAAACCAGTGCAGTTCAGGAAAAAAACATATAAACCAAATATGTAGTCCTAATGAAGTCATTATAGTCTGAGTCACAAAGCACGAGGATGACTGCAGGTCTTCACTGGTGTGCGTGATGTGTGTTTGTGTCTTTTTGTGTGTGACACCCAACATGGAGGGGGCAGGGGTGTCCGTGGGCAACAGAAAAGGAGAAGCAGTGTGTATCTCACTGTTAAATGTTCTGCCCTTAGGGCAGAGTTCTCCACTCACTCATAGATAAAAGCCACTCAGTGTCTATTAATACACACAGGACAGAGGACCCAATCCTCCTCCGTCTCCTTTTTGGCCCCTTCTCAGCCGTGCCATCCTTTGTACTTTCTCCTCCTCTCCCCTGTCCTTCCCTCACTTCCCTGTTCCCAACAACCAAAGGGGGACAAATTATTAAATGCAAATATGGGAGGTAATTTCCCCTAATGTTGGCATTTTCAGCTGTCCACAGCCATTTTTTGTGTTTTTTGAGGGAGGAGGGGAAGGAACAAGAAATGCTTTTTTTAAATGTAAATTTATGGGGAAAAAAGTTAAATTAAGATCAGTAGACAACAAGGATTAGAAAGTGGAAAAAAGGTCAAAGACTGTAATATATAACAATATATAACACTAGACCTAACTTCAATACAAACAAAAAAATTTAATTTAAAGTTTTTAGAAGCAAAACTAATAGAAAAATAGCCACAATTAGTGCTTTATTGCACTGCTCTAGTGCTCTACAAATAGTCCTCTATCAAGTTATTGTTAGTTCCATTACATCTACAGTAAGAGGCACATATCGAGCCACAATGAAGCTGTGGTAGTATGTCAGGCTCCTCTAAAGTGTGTGGGAAAACTGAAACGCTCCTGTGGCACTTCATAAAGGCTGACTAAGAGCTCTTTTTAGAGGCCTTTATCCAGGTACTCATTGCTGATTACTTTCAGTGCATCTTAGCTGAGGTGTTTTAGGTCACCACATAAGGGGAAACCCACCAAAACATAGAGGTGGATTCTGATGTTTTTGTGGTGTGTGAGTGTACAATCTGGTCACATTGGTCCAGACAGGACCCGACAGAGGCTCTTGGATGTTGTGGAGAATGCAGTCAGTGGCTGTTGCTCACCTGCATGTCAGAGCTGGTGAAGGTGCATCCTGACACATAGTTGGTGTGCATGGCGACAGACTTCTTTTTTGCAGCCAAGTTCTCAGTGCTGTCAAGAGACAGCGGGATCACCGAGCACTTGTTATCCAGCCCGCTTTAGGTGGAGACAGAAAGTTAGTTTCTTAGTTAGTGGCAGTTAGTTTCCATTCACCAGCAAAGTCTAAGTCGCTATGCTAGCCAGTAAGAATAAAAAAACAGTAGTCAGTACACAGCTGCATTGCAGGTTTTTACATGATATTTTATATATATATATATATATATATATTCTTTTTATGTATTTGATATAAATAAATTAATTAAAAAAAGAAATTTGATACTCAGGTTCCATTTGACACCAAAAGCTACCATCCAGTTTTAAATGTGTTTTAACCATGCTGTATTTAAAACAGTAAATGGTCACATAAAGAATAACCCTTTGAACATCAGGCATTATAGTCATTTTAATTATTCGTTTTTAAGTATTTCAAAAGATGCATTTCCAGAAAAAAAATACTATACTATAATGAATACAAGCAACCAAACCAAAATGAATAAACAAAAAGGTTTTACACACCCACATGCCACTGCACAACCTGAGGGAGCGTATGCACACGCCATCACCCACGTGCACGGCAGGGTCACCCCGTGCTCCTGCAGGACAGACAAAACACAAACACACACAAAACAAAGAAGTCACCCTCTGTAAATAAAAAGAAACTCGTTTTTTAACATCTTCTCACATCGACGTACACACAGCAGCTGCACAACTGGATGTGGCGTGTGTTACTGATCTGAGCTGCATTAAGAGCATCAGAACCCTGGTGAAGGTAGACACAGCATAAGCCACTAAACCGGGCCAAATCCTGGCTATCATTGAAGCACACACACATACATATTAACACTCCCAGAGTCTTTAAAGGGGACAGATGGATAGATAAGCTGTCAGCGCATATTTTCATCTGATCAGGTCACTTCCTCTCACATGGGGAGCAGAGGCCCAGCAGCTGCTGTGTGTGGGGGGGTAAAAACATGAGGACCTGGACAAAAAAAACAACAACCTCTGGTCAAATGTAAAAGGGGAGTTTAATAATAGCTGTGGAATTCATGTTTATAATAATAGTAATAATAATGTTTATTTGCTGGCATAGACTATTTTCTCCCACTTGGTTGAATATAAAATTGAATCTTTTGACTTGTGCAGAGTGACAAAACACACAGCATAGATATATGAGGGTAAACCTGGAAAAGTGGACATCCAAAGGTAATTTTTTGCTGGATATATACTGTAGCACTTTAATATTGGATTTAATGACATCAACTTAAACATAGGGAATGATTTCAGTGTCCTGATCATTGACCAATAATAATGATAATAATAATAATAATAAGTTAGCTAGTTATTAGTTAGTTATTATTAATAAAGTTCCTGCTGCACAGTGAAAAACAAAAATGCAAAAATAATCACAATTTTAAATGCTTTGCTCCGAAGAAGAACTATAAAGAGTGGACTGACACCAAGTGTGTTTATGTATACAAAAAAAACAAAAACAAAAACAGACAAACAGTGATATACATCTCCTTTAAAGAGTCCACAGAAACTAACCGAAAGGAATCCACTCACCTTATTGAGAGTGAAAGCATCCCAGACGATGACTTTTCCATCCTAGGTGAGAGCAGTGTGTTAGGGCGACCGGGCCGTGGCGTGGTTGTGCAGGCAGCGTGTGTATTTGCGTGCAGGTGTGTTACCTGTGAGGAGCTGACCAGGCGGCGCCTGTCTTTGCACCAGTCCGTGCACAGCACCTTGTTCCCGTGGCCCTTCAGCACGCGCCGGGTCTTTATGGACAGAGCACCCACCAGCTCCACCTTCTCAGCCACCTGGTGCACTGATAACAC